TTAAGACAATAAGGGAAGAGAAATTTTATGCTTAGCTTGATGGAACAGGTTGTAATAGTGTGACCTATCTGCTATGTGAAGGAAGCTATTTGCCACTGATACCACGAGCTCTTTGCATCAATACTACAAATTCTGTATCTCCCCTGTAAGTGTAAATAACTGTTCATTTTTTAATTGGCTGCCACACTACTAAACTCATCGGAAGAAATGACTGCTCCTTGATAGAAAATTGGAAACGAGTACTGATGCAGCCTACCACCTAGCTATAAGCAAGGAAATAAAATGGCCAAACCGGGAAAATATTACTCATGTTCAAGAGTAACTACATAAATGTTCAAACAGTACTGGCACATATTTAGAACAACAGCTTACTCCAGGCTGGACCTGCTGGTCTATCTACTCCTGGGAAACACTCCTAACACATCCAGTCTACACAGGGTCACAGATAACACTAAACTGGAAAAAGCTTCAGTGGAAAAACATGAAACCATTAAATCTGATTTATCCTGTCACAGGTGAATTGTACAGGCAGTACACCTCTGTTCACCATGTCCAAAATCTCTCTAAGGGCTTTAGGCAAATAAATTAACCTCTTCACTTGAACATTTACTATTGCACTCCTGAAACCCTAACAGTGGCTAGAAGTCCACAGATTGCCAGACACAGGTAAGTACCACCTATGCTACACATAATTAAAGGAAACCTGACCCATACATTGTTTGCATGAGTATGACAACATTAATACTATTGGTACTAAAGTAGTGTCAGTAAATTTTGACATTTTCCGTTATGAAGCAGAATTTTGTTTTTATTTCTTTTAGTTTATCTGAAATTGAAGTCATTATTACATTTAAATGTTACAGGACCTGACAAGTTCAGATCAAATTTACTCAGCAGAAGAAAGTAAGGAAGTTATTTACACTAGACTGGACAAAGGTTCATGAAGTTTGCCTATTGAACAAAGTGTGCCTGAGTTTCTGTTAGGCATATGAAAAATGAGTGTCTTGGTGTCCCTGGCTTCCTAGTGTGAGGATTATAGTATGTGTGCAGGCAGTATAAATTACTTTTACTGGCTTTTTTTTTGGGGGGGGGGTTTGGTAAGTTAAGCTGATGCATTCTACTCTTCCAAAAATTTTGATTAATGCAAAGACTGCAAATATAAGCATGACATTTCCATTCCCTTCTTTCTTCCTTTTCATAAGAGACTCTTTTCTTTGTTAGCAAACTCTGGAAGTACCTCCCTTTTGCTTGCAGCTGTCTGGCAGTGTCTCCCAGATGGCAATTGTTCAGACATCTTGTCTGGCTCCTGCTCTTTGCTGCTACCTTACTGCATATGTATGCGGAAGGGGCAGAAATAACTTAAAGTTGAAAAAATTTTCAAGTATGCTTCCACAAACTCAAATCAAAAAACCTAATATTTTTCTTCTAACTCTTTCAAGCAAGTACTGTGTTTTATCAAGGTCATTATTAGTATGGAAGCTGCTGGAAAGAGATTTTACTACAAAGCAAAGGAGGGAAAACCGGAAGAAACATAAACAGATGATGTGCTACTGAGTCCTCCCTTCTTATTGCACTGCATCAGTGAACACAGTTTACATCTCTGATGGTGGGCATCTAGTTACAAGTTACACCAGTTAAGTGAAAAGACTATTGGCAAGAACTGAAGTTGAAAAACACAGGAGGGCATCTATGTCAAGGTACAGCCTTTTTAATAACTTTAGAAATTAGATTTTGTCATAGATATTTTTGACTTCAGTGTAATTCTTGACGTCCAAGAGCAGTAGCAAACTACTTCAAGAAACTGCCTAAATAATCTGGAGCAAGGCAGTCTGAATGCAAAGGTTGTGCATTCTGGAGCTGGCTGCAGTACTGTGGCTCTGCTAGAGCAACTATCCAATAATGAAATGCCTCCAGCCAAATTCAACTGGCTTTGCAGCTATGAGCAAATTAAATAGGCAACACTCAGGAGTAAAGGTACTGTAAAGGAACACAAGGACAATGGCTAAACCTATTATCTACTCTTAAAAGTGCTTTCTTGGACACCTTTTTAGAAATTGTTCATTGGCTGACTTTACAATAAAATAAGTGTGTGTTAATAACATACGTTTCATTATGAAAAGACTGAAAAACTGATACTGTTCTTCCTCCTTTAGGAGACAACAGCATGATTTACTATTAGCACCCTGAAAGCTAGGGAATAGAGAAATCAAGTGTTTGCCCAAAGGACACCAAAGAAATCAGTACAAGAACCAAGTACAGGATTTGTCTCTTGGCAGCTTGAACTGATACCTTTAAATCAGCTCATTTACCCTTTTTGTTTCTCACTAAGGATTAAAAGCACTTCAGTCTCTTGTCTGGTCAGTCTGGTACATTTCACGTCATTAATTACCTCCTCAAAAAATAAAAACACAATGTAGAAAAACAGAGTAGATTTTCCACTTTAAGAGTAATTGGCACCGTCAGTGAAGAGTCAGCACTTACCCTGTAATGGTCAGTTCAACAAACACATATCTAAATGCCAAACCACAAGCCCTTAAACTCAGTTAATTGCTTCTTTTCAGGTTGAGATCATGCTTATATTTATGACTGAATGAAACTTCCACATTAAAAATAACTTAGACAATTAGACAATGTTTCTGTTACTTAAAATTTTAAAGATCAGTTGTAGGCTGAAACACAAATATTTTTAAGTACATATTGAAACGCAAGCAATATAACAGCAACTGTAGATCGCCTTGTGTCCAGCTATTCTGCTCACAAGCTTTACTCTGCTCCACTGAAATAACTTCAAATTTGGTGTACTTTAGCAGAGTCCACTTATCATCTCCACTTTATTTTCTTGATAGATATTTATAGCAGCAAGCCAAAATCTTACAAATTTTCAGCCAAAAAATATTTTCCGTTTATGAAAAATTTGCAGGGATTTATTGACTGGCAGTTAACAAGTTCCAACTTGTAACCATTTTTTACTGGAAATTGCTGTCTCCAGATGAAAATTTTACAGTGAAAGCAAATGTTGCTGTCAGACCTTCTTCTGCTTTATGTTTTTCCCACTATCCATAAAGCAGACTACTTCATTCCCACTTAAATGGTATTGGAGTTGCATTCCCTATGCAAAGCAAAGGAAAAACCTGCACTACAAAATATGACTTTTATTTTTTTTAAGTTATACATGGTAGTGTCAATAATGTCCCTTCCTTCTTACTAATTCTGTTTTATTAAAGAACAAGTTGACTGAAGCAGTCAAGTGTTTTCCCCCCTGGAGAATAGAAGGCTATGGGTGGGACCTCACCAGAGTTTTCCAGTACTTAAAGGATGGAGATTCTCTTCACAAGGAGTCATACTGAGAGGAGAACGAGCAGTGGATAAGGTAGAGGATAAGGCACAGAGAGTGGTTTCGTCTTGGTATAAGAAACAATTTTTTTACAGTGAGAACAATCCATCTCCACAGGAATGTGGTGGAGTGCCCATCACAGGAGGAGTACGAGATGAGACTGGACAGAGTGCTAGATAATCTCATTCAGGCTCACTTGCCCATGAAAGGTTGAACCACATGATCTTTTGAGATCCCTTCTAACCTGGGCTGTTCTATGATTTTGTGAATCTGTCTACTTATCCCTTAAATCACAATTTGCATGCCTTCCTTGCGTGAGTAGTTCACAGCACTGGTAGATAAGGTATGCAAATGATCCTTACATTTTTCTGTACAGAGTACAATATATTCTTAAAATACATGATCTGAGGTCTACTTTGTCTTTCTCTTACAGGTATGGGGCTGATATCAGAATCAGAAGGAGATGGCAACTTTCAGTGCAAAGTAAGGCATTATTTATTTCTGCATGACAAAACCTCATTGCTTCACAAGAGCTTTGAAATGGAACCTTACAGAGGAGTTTTCAAAGACAGCCAAGACTCTGACACATAGGTTAAAAGCAGACAGAAGATACTAGAAACCCAAGTTATGGCGACAACAGATCACAGAAATTAAGGGCTTTTCCACAGGAAATTCTACATTGTCTTTTCTAGAACTGGAACAAAAAGCCACATGCCTAAACATTTTATAAAACAGAACATTTTCAGAAGTTTTGTCATGTGAATGGCTCTTGCTCACCATCTGTCAGGTTCTCTGCTATCTGGCAGTTCTGAGTATTACCCAAAGAAAGCATTTAGGGCTATTTGCTTTCTGAAGATTTACATTCAGCCAGCTCCAGATAGCTGACTTTGGATTAGAACCAATACACATAAGACATTTTTGTCATTATGGATAGTGTTTTTCCATCCGTGCAATCTGAGAGGATAAAACCCAGCTTAAGTTAAATTACCATGGTGTTGTGGTTACATATGTTAGTAGTTTGTGTGTTTGTTAAATTTTAATTTAATATGAACATAAGGAGCCAGGGGACTAGGTTTTGTTTAGTATAAGGTTTTTTTCTCTTCCCTATTTTGCAACAACCAGGTAATCTGAATGACAGCCTTTCCCAATACTGTAGTTCTGATTTGACAAATTAATGTTAAAGCTTCTGTATCAAATAAACACAGAACAGCAATCTTTCAAACTCAGATACAGATAGGTGAGTGTTTTGTAGCTGACAACTGAGAAATACAGTAGCACACTTAAATCTCTTGCAACCTCCACATTATTTTCAGGAAGGAAGCATGACACTGTTTTAAGTTACATAAAATTAGAAATATTTGGTGATCTTCTTCACATAACAAATCAAAAGGTTGCGAAGTGGCTACTTGCAAATATCACATTATGTGTTGATTGTGACTTGAGGAATGAGGAGCTATTTTGAACATGTTATTTGCCTTTTACTGGAATTCTACAATGATCATACTATTGATTTCTAATATAACAGAAAACCACATTAAAAAAATAAAATAAAAAAACCCAAACAAACAAAAAACAAACTAAAACAGAAATTCCATTTCCAAAAGTCTGAAACAGAGACAGAAAAAAGTATTCTTTTTATCTTAGACATGGAAACAAAACAAATTACCTGGGTCTTCTATTGATAAGTTCTTCGTTAACCATTGAACAATGTCTGAACCTAGAAACAAAAAAACGGGCATTTTTATATTAGTAAGTTTTCTCTTCCTATTCTTCAGATACCTGAGGCAAATCATGTTGTTCTTCCATGGAAGAGATCTACATTTTTTGTTCAGATTGTCTAGAAAAAAAACCTGTGACACTATTATTTTATTTTAGCTTTGATTTAGCAGAGAAACATAGCACTCATTCTTTCTTTAGGCTAAGATTTATAAAAAGTAACAGAAGTGCACTAAGTGTATGATAATAATCTGCATTTTAAAAATTACATATATGATAGTAGTCTGCATTTTAAAAAATTACACTGCTTCAAAATTTACATAGCAAAAGAAACACTTTATAAAGTTAATATTAAGTTTTTCACCTCTTAAAATTTAGTTATCAGTAAAAGCATATTCAGTTACCCACACATGCACTACCAATGTATCAAACTCCACCTTATAGCTAAGCTCTTGGCAGAATTCATTTTTCCCTTCATTCTTAAGCTCTCTCCTCTCTGCTCCCGTCTCTCTTCTTCCATATCCCTTCATTTACTGCCTATCCATTTCTTTCTATCTAATTTCCTGTCTTGTTTTAGGGTCCAATGCTATTGCTCACTTCTTCACACCTTTCATACCAAATTTCTTGCTGCTTTTTTCACTGAGTAGCCTTCCAAGCTCACCTCCTAATTCCTAGCCCATCTGCTCTCTTGGGCATGCACTCCTATTACACTTTGCACTTTATGTCAAAAGCCTTGTTTTCCAGATTGAAAGCTATGGTTGAACTTCACCCACTGAGAACATGCATTACAAAATAAATTATGAAGCAGTGCTGCAGATGAAAACAAAACAAAACAAAACAAAACAAAACAAAACAAAACAAACTTACATTCAGATTTAACAACTTTAAATAATGAAATTGGCTTAAAGGGAAAATGTAGTGAAGCACTGATGGGGTGTTATGTGTATGTTTTTTGTGTTTCGTGATGGCTCCAGTTTGGACAAGCATGTAATAGAGAGACATGTCAGGTAATATTTCCCTATAGAATCAATATTTATGATGCTCAGCCATTTCCCAGCAAACATAATCATGAAATTCTTTTATAAACCTTAAATTTAAAACAATCACAAAAATCTACACAACTTACACAACTATAAACTAAATCAAAACAATGAAATCTCTTGAATGTGAAATAATACATAACATTAGAATGTGGAGCATATTTCCCCTGTCTCTCCCTGGATTCAAACTTCTTCCTGTACTTTGCATAGTGCATTTCCTTTGGTTTCCTTAAGGCAATGAAAATGATATTATAAAAAGGCATTTTAGAGAAGAAAGGAAATTTACTTCTCCTCTCTTTCTTAAAGACCATAGTTCTGTAGCTCTTTTTTTGTTACACATAGTGAATAGACTTACCATGTATTCTACAAATTCTTGTTGGTAATATCATAACTTTTTATGAGTGTATACATTACTAAATTGATTACATAGCAGTGAAAATCTGTGTAGATTTTACAGCCTATCTCCAGAGAAGACATTTTCATTACTATGTTACATATCTAAATTTTGATAGTTATTAAACCCCAATGGCACCATTTCTCCTAGCATTTATATGGCTTTATTCCTTAAATGAGGCAATTTACCTTTGCATGATGTTGGGGCTGTACGAAATGTTTCAGACAGATATTCCTACCACAAAATATTCTATTTTTATTCTACTCTTATATATTTTAATAAATACAATCTCAGTCCTTTATTTATATATATGTGAACTTTACAAGGCCAACACTGATGGAAGAATTTTAGCTTAGTGTAAGACAAAACTTCATAGACGTAATGATGCAGCTCCAAGCAAAGCTATATTTTTATGTCAGCTGACTAGAGAAGTTAGTCAGCCCTAAATATTTTCCTAAATCTTCAAAGATCAGAGAAAAAAATAGAAAAACATCATGACACTTCTAAATACTGATTCTTAACTTTGTCTTCCTTCAAATCTCTCAGATACCATATGGAAGAAATTTTCTATTCTATTTATCTCACCTTCAAATTCTTCCTTTCTTTTTGCCTCTTTTGAAAACTCTCCCACAGTGACATACCGTATTCCTCAGTCCTCGGCTCCTGGCATCACATTTGCGTACATTGTCTACGTATCAGAAATTTCCCCTCCATATGTTGCACTGTCTTTTGGCTATTATAAATAATAGTGGGAAGTGGGGTTTCATAACAACTGCACCACCTGATTCTGAAAGTTCACTGCTGCTCTATTCACATTTTACACTGAAGCCACTCCCCTGGCACCTGAAAGCCTGAACAGCACCTTAAGCCAGCTATTATATTCAAACACGGATGATTTCAGATGCATGACTTTGATGACAAAAACCCAGATGAATAAGTATCAACATGAGCACTCTCCTTTTAGTGTGAAGGCTCTTCAAGTAAAAGTTGAAAGTAATTGGTCATATCACAAGTAAAAAATTTTTCAGTTCATATTTCTTTGGGAGATCTTGGTGCCAACACTAGTCCTAAAAGAATAATAAAGGTAATAATGTAATAAAGGTACAGCAATGTAAATCCTGCAGTTGTAGCCTGTCTCATAACCAAGCTTCAGAGCAGAAATCTGGTTCATAAAAACTAAAGGGATAATTAAACATGACTGTGTATCTGTGCCCACTCTTTATTCTAAAAGTACCAATCTAGAGAAGTCCCTGTCTTCTCCAGCAAAAGAAACTGCTGTTCCATTCCAGAAACATTTATCTTTAAAGCTTCCCAAAAGACATCCTCTACTTAGATTTCCTCCACAGCCACAAGTGACTGTTTTACAGATGACACTAGCTGTGCATAATTGGCAACACACCAGTAACCACAGATGAGACCCCTGTAATCCCAAGGCTCTTGTATTAAGCACTAGAGTTTAGCATCTTGCTGAGGAACATTGCTCCATGCTAAACATTTGCAAGACAAGAGCGATGCTGTTTATAAAAATTATTGTATGAAAACCCAGTACAGTCTTTCTACCGCAAAGGAATTTTTACACTTTTCTTCAAAATTATGTAAAGCCTTGTGATCTTGTTGAGCTATAATAAAATATCAGTGTGCACGTGACATGCAAAATCTTAACAACTTCCTCTATGTAAAAAGTATTTGTGGGGGAAAAGGCCTAGAGAGAATAAGTAGAATTTGGAATACCATAAGATTTCCCTGAAGAAATTTATGAGAAATCTTACCCTGAAAAAAAACCACAAAAAAACCACAAACAAAATGGGAAAAAAATTATGATATTTTATCAAGCAAAACTTCGAAAGTCTGAGATTAACAAGGAGATCAAAAGACTTATCAGTGAGACCAACTTGATTTCCTGTTCATCAGAAATCTCAAGTAATGGTAAGAGAAGTGACCTTCTATTTTCTGCATCATTGTGTCCCATTCTTCCTCTCCTCTCAATCAATTCCTCTCTTTACTCTCCAAACATATTCAGACATATTTGGGTTCTATTAAGAGAGAAACAGCCAAGGATTCAGCAGCTCATCTCATCCTCCATCCATAACTACCTTTGGGAACTCAAGCTGAATCACATCCTCCACAACAGTTTTGGATCCAATACCAAGTAGAGAGCAGGAACACTCCAGGCATGCGTCCATGCTTTTCCCAACACCCACATTCACTCTGTAAATCAATAGGCAACTAAGCTGCTCTGCAATACCAACACCCCACTTGTAGGTGAGTGCCTAGTCATCAACCTAAAGAACAGTTTTTTCTTTTTCAGTGACAATATAACTTCTTTATAAAAAGAATTTCAATCTGCACATGGAAGAGAACAGTCTCTACTGTCTGCTGATTATGTTCTCTAAATCATGAGTCAAGATAGTCCAAATTTCTGCTTAGACACAAGCAGTTTTAGGTATTTGAATCTGAGTGTCTCCACCTCAGTATTGAAGCACTCTGGTTGGGCTCCCTTTTAATTCCTTTTGCTGGAACTGTAACTCTTTTGTGTTAAACGGTCTGGACGATAACAGAAGAAAATAAAAAAATTACTACCCTGAAGGACACCCATGTGGGGAGTTGAGCACCTAGAGTCCCCTCCCTGAGAAGGCTGATTAATGCAAAGTAGGACAGCACTGGCAAGCGCATCCTGGTGCAGCACACAGCACTGTGTGAATGTGAGAGCAGCCTCTCTCAAGGAAAGCCAAGAAGGAAATGGATAAGTGACTCCAGTACCAAGTTTGATCCCCAGTTCCTAAAATAATGTGTAAAAGGGAAACAGTAACATTGCTGTTGTCTTAACTATCTTGAACTCTCATTCTGAAAAAAATCATCCAAGATTATTTCAGGAAAACTGAGAGCACATTCTTGTGGGAAAAATTTGCTACTTGCCATAAATAGCTCACCTAACTTTCTTTTTAGATCTACTAGATATTTTACTGTATCTGCCTGACAGAGAAAACAGGTCGATTGGTAAGCATAATACGTTCTTTCTCTCATACACATAACAGCGTTTGCACATAGCACTTTGATAATCTTTACAACACAGTAAAAGCTGCCTGAGATTACCTCTGCCACAAAAAATATTTTTGCTTTCTTATTTTTTTACATCAGCAGTTCGAAAATAGTGTGTAAAACCAAATGCCCTCCAAGTTCAACAAGAAAGCTTTATGAAGCTCCTAATCATACTTCAAGCAATCATGTTTTTTTTACATATTTCCACTTTAATATCACTAAGAAATATTATATTTTCCTTCTGAAATGCTTCTTCTAATTCTTGCCATACTGCCCCCCGAAGACACCCACACACAGATGGTAATGGAAGGAAGCGAGGCAGCAATGCAATTTCTGCTAGACGCTTTACATTCATGGAGGATTTTTGAAGGGGAAAATCCTGAAGTACTAATTCTAATAATTCAGGAATAAATATATTATAATACAAGACCTGACTTGTGATTTTTACTCCACAAAGAAACTCAGTGGAGACACAATGACTTACAGTTTTGACATTAGCCCAGCAACAATGTCAATGCATTTCCTCAA